CCGATGGATATTAGTGAGCTGGCGAAGGTGACCAGACAGCTGCTGAGCACAACGGTAGCCGCTATAGACCAACCAAAACCAAACGAATATGAGCAGAAAATTGAAGCATTGCAGCGGGAAGTGGCGGCGTTAAAGTTGGCTGATAGAAAAGACCGATGTTTTGAATGCGGTAAGCCGGGACACTGGAGAAGATACTGCCCAGAAAGGCGAAAAAGAAAAAGTTTCAGACGGTATAATACTTGTTCTTTCTCTCGTATGAACCTAGATTTAGTGGGGGCTATTGAGAAAGGGGCTCTGTATTCGAAGTTGCGAGTGAATGATCGAGAAGTAGTATGTTTGATAGATACAGGGGCGGCCGTGTCGTTAATAGATAAGAATTTATGTAAGAGTGTTAGTCCGTGTTCATTGACAGTACAAACAGTAGGCGGGCATGTGTTGCGTATCACGGGTAGATCGAACTGTACGGTCGTTGTTGGCGGCTGCGAGGTGACGTTTCCTTTCATTGTTGTACCCGAACTACAGCGAACGATATTAGGAGCGGATTTTCTGCGTGAGATTGGTGCAATAATCGACACGCAAGCGAACGTTGTGATCACGAAATACGGGCATATCAACATGTATGAGACCAGCGAGATAGCAGCGATTAAGCTGTCGACGGTACACAATGTGACAGAGTTAATTAATAAATACGATCATCTGTTCACTGGAGATGGGGACCCATACGGTTATTGCGATAAGGTGAATCATGAAATTCCGTTAAGTGATCCGAAAGTAAGGTCATTTATGACGCGAAGAGTTCCATGTCATCTGGAAGGCGAAGTGGAGCGACAAGTGCAAGAGATGTTAAAAGATGATATTATTGAGGAAGCTGATAGCCCATACAACTCTCCAGTGCTGTTAGTAAAAAAAGCGAATGGGAAGTATAGATTCTGTGTTGATTTTCGACAGTTAAACAGTATGACAGAGTTAAGACCGTGTGCCATGCCAACAGTGGTAGAAACCTTAGATCGCCTACAAGGTGCGAATGTGTTTTCGGTTCTCGATCTTCGCTCAGGATACTGGCAGATACCGATAAAACAAGGTGATAGAGATAAGACGGCTTTCATCGTGGGTCAGACACAATATCGATTTAAACGCATGCCGTTTGGACTAGCAGGTGCACCGTTTACGTTCAGACGACTGATGAAGCTATTACTTAGGAACTTGAAAAACGTGGAGGTTTATGGTGATGATCTCGTCATATACAGTCAGAACGAAAACGATCACGTCAACCATGTAGAAGCCGTGCTGCGACGCATCGAAGAGTTTGGACTACGCGTCAACAAAACCAAGTCCCAGATAGCCAAAAAGAATGTTACTCTGTTGGGACATAAAGTGGGAAATGGTGAGATTAAACCACTACCGGAGAAAATTTTGACGATTAAAACGATTCCAGCCCCGAATTCAAAGAGAAAACTGAGACAATTCTTGGGTAGAGCAGCGTTTTATAGTCGCTTCGTGAAGAACTTCAATGAGATAGCAGCCCCTCTATACAGGCTACTAGGTGAGCCAAAGTTTGTTTGGTCGGAAGAATCGCAGAGGACATTCGACAGAATTAAACAGCTGCTCGACCACCAACAAATGACGCTAAAACTACCTGTACCTGGAAGACAGTTCACAGTGTGCACAGATGCCAGTGACTACGCTATAGGTGCGGTCCTAAGACAGGACGAGGGAATCGTTGAGTATGCCAGTCGGGTTTTGACACTTACAGAGAGAAAGTATTCAACGATAGAGAAAGAATGTTTAGCAATGGTATGGGCAGTCGACAAATGGAGACCTTATTTACTCGGCCGGCGGTTCCACATCGAAACTGATCATAAGCCGCTACAATTTTTGAAGACAGCGAGAGACCCACGGGGGAAGTTGTCACGGTGGATGTTGCGTCTTCAGGAGTACGATTTTACGATCTCACACGTTCCTGGAAGTGAAAATGTCTTGGCAGATTTGTTATCGAGACCAGAAGATGAGTCTGAGTTGCCCGAGGTCGCTTACGGAGTGCATGCAGTAGAACAAGACCCACTAAGACTTGCACGCAGGCAGAGGTTGGACGATACGCTGAATACAGTAATACAGGTGATCACCAACGGAATAGAAGTGGATCAAACGACGGCGAGTAAGGAGCTAACCACACTACTCAGACAGAGGGATCGACTCAGAGTGAATGCATACGGGACTCTGACCTGGCGAGAGAACGACGGAAGCTGGCTGGCTGTCATACCTCAATCGTCGCGCCACGACATGATAGAAGAATGTCACCAGCTAGCGCATACAGGCGTGGCCAGAACGACCGACCTCCTAAGACAAAGTATGTACTGGCCAGGTATGAGAGAAGACGTAGCAAGATACGTACTTGGATGTCCACGGTGCCAGCTGATGAAAGGTGACCGGTGCATACGACCACCACTTCAGTCGATTCCAGTTACGGCGATAGGTGACTTGTGGTCCGTAGATGTCATGGGTCCATTTCCTCAGACATCCAATGGTAATCAGTACCTCTTGGTGATGACGGAACACGCGACACGATGGGTAGACGCCGTAGCAATCCCAGACCAACGTGCAAGAACCGTGACAGATGCAGTAGTTAGACACATTGTTGCAGACCACGGCGTACCGAAGACAATACTGACAGACCAAGGTCCCTGTTTCGAGAGTGAAGAGTTTACTTCCCGTTTGCAACAGCTGGGCATCAAGAGGATCAGAACGACCCCATATCATCCACAAACGAATGGCCTAACGGAGAGAAACAACCGTACACTGAAGGAGTGGCTGGCCTCGAAGGGCGGTAACTGGGAAACGGAACTTCCACTGATTTTACTGACACATCGTGCTACCACTCAGGAAACAACGAAGAAGTCACCCTTCCAACTGATGTATGGTAGAAAACCACGATTACCAATACACAACGAGACCTGGCCCCGTCACCAAAAATGGAGTACGACGAAATTAAAAGCAGAGCGGAAAGAAGCAGTCAAGAATGTAATGAAGAAGCAGCGGAGTGATGTCGCGAAGTCTCAGCTGGACGGAAAGACTCAGTGCATTACCTTTGCAGTCGGGGACCAAGTGAAGTGTAGAGACAAAAGAAATACAGTTGGATGCGGGCCAGGTTCACGAAAACTCCTTCCAAAGTGGGAAGGACCGTACACAATCACAAAAAGACGGGGTCATGTATATACCATCCGAAGAGGTGATAAACAGAAACGAGTTAACGCCAGTCAGCTCCAAAGATGGGTACAGTGGGACAAGCCGATCAGTAACAATCCTCAACTAGAGGATGTAGCACCCAGAAGGTCGGAACGTCTGCGCACAAAGCTATTTGACGGGGGGACGAGTGTGGTGAGAGCAGGCTGCTAGCCGATTGGTTGACACTAATCTACGTTAATGTCTAGGTCACTAATATGGGCCGTGAGAAAATATGAACAAGGCTGTTTCAACAACCAATCACAGCAAACTTAAACGTGGACAAATATGATTCGCAGATAGATGGCTCTACTTTCCGAGAAATATCGAAAACAACCAATCATAAGACTGTGTTTGTCTGCTTAACTTCCGTGAAACAACCAATCAGAAGACTGCCTTTTTCTGCTTGCATAAGCCTTATTAATGTACATAAAATATATATAAATACGTGTTGATTTTCGTAATAAAACGATCTGTTGCCAGCCCTTGTCTTCTGTTGTTACAATATGACTACTAAATGGCCGACTGATTAACATGGAAATTTGAATAAAAGCACATCATTTCAAGCTGCTGCACTTCAGAGGACTACGTATAAAAGTAGAAACAAAATGTGATGAGACTAACGGACAAAGATGTGCGGAAGAAAGAAAAATTAGATGAATATAACAGTCGATACTTAACAAAATCTAAAAGATAACAAACAGGAAAAAGATATGAACCATTGTAAAGAATTTTGAACTGAACCACCAACAGCCTCAGATCATTCATTCTAAACATTCTGAAGGACCCCAGGTAGTCAGTTTACAATTCCCTATATGGTAAGATATTTTCATCTGACCATGCAGAGTTCTTTAATAGGCTAGTCCTACTGTAGTTGACAAAGTTTGTTGGAATGCAAGGAATGAAAAAAAATGAAAAAATAATTTAAATTGAGCAAAGAATATCCTTTTCGATAATTTCCTCTTCTGACTCTACGATTCATATACATGTTTATATACGTAGATTATTCTAGAATAGTCGTCAATAACAATGTTTGTTTGTTAAATAATATCAATTTGTTAAGTAAGATCAATGGAATTACATTGGATACAGAACACGAGATTAATTTCAATTTTTTTTATTACAGCTTGATTCCACACTGTATTTCGGTACAGGTATGGAATTTTCAGCATGTGATATCGGTAGCCCAAATTTTGCAAGCCGACCGTTGATACCAGATGTGCGTGAGCAGGGGATTGAACCCCGGACCATGTTGCATGGTCGGCGAGTGTCCTAACCTCTGTGCCACGGACACACAGAAGCTTTCAAAGTTATTTACCGCATACCAACTAATCTGAACTTCACCTTAAGAGTTTGTCTACTACATATTGCTGAGGCCATTGGGATTCACATTGAGAAATCTAACTTATCTATCCAAAAAAAGCTGGTTCGGACACGATTCTTAGCCTGGCCACCAAGGTTCTAGTGATCCTCAGATTTTTTGTGGAAATTTCCTCAGTTTTACTTGATATTCTATTTGCTATTATATTTGTATGCTTATTATAATTTATGCATCCTTAGTGAACTGTAATTCCATTGATCTTACTTAAAAAATCGATATTATTTAAAAAACACCAATATTGTTATTGACGATTATTCTAGAATATTCGATGTATATAAACATATATATGATTGCACAGCCAGAAGAGGAAATTATCGAAAAGGATATTCTTTGCTCAATTTTTTGTATTTTCTAGATGTCTGAATGAAAAATTTAAATCATATAACACCTCATAACTTACTCTAAAAAATTTGGTTTAAATTTTTCAGCAACATAATTTCCAAACTGTACTTGGCATTGTATACCAGCTAGATAGATAGCTTCCTCTAACGAAACTGGATGAGTGCCTTTCAAGATGGCGTCTTTCAACTAGAATAAAATAATCAGTAATGTTAAAGTGTTATTCCGGAAATAACTATTTTAATGATGTGATAAGCTTAATAAATGTAAAGAATAACATTGGTAATTAACGATTAAATATTCTTATAACAAAAACAAGAAAAAGAATATAACATTAATTAAACAAAGAATTTTTATCTATTTAAACTGAAGACAGATGTGAAATAGAACCTTTTTAAAATTGATTGAGCAACTGTGATAAGCGGTTCATTTATTTGAATTCGAGTTGAATTACAAAGATGAGTTTCACGTCTATAAAAAGGAAACACAACATAAAGCTATGGCTAAACTTAATGGTGACCTACAAGTTCTCACTGACTTAAACTGATGACAATCTCAACTTGGGGGTAATTTAACTTGCCGTTATAGAGTAGATATGGTTGAAAGCTTAGCGCATGAATTTCTGTTGTATTACTTCTTTAATTGCTTTGTGTTCCAAGTGAAACACAGAGCTCTAAGTTTTAATCTTTAAAGTTTTAGTAGAGTTTGTATTATTAAAGCGTGGGTTTGCTAGCAGCACAAACTCAGATACCTGACGGAATAATCCCACATTTTCAGATAGCATATGATTTCAGTGATGACTATCTATCACTCCTTCTGTATTCATGCACTTTATATTTTTAAATCGTCAATTCGTCATCAGCTTTGAAATTTGACATGAATACAATGTCCATCTTGCAACTTTTTATTTCCTGTTGACTGGCTTTACTAGAGTCTTCTTTGTTGATGTGTTGCCTCTTAGAACCAACGCTTCGAGGATGCCTTGAAGTCAACTAGACATTATTTTACTGTTGATGGCTAGCAGTGGGATACATAACACACGTTTCGTCCTAATTATGAATCATCAGCTAAGCGTACCTGAATCTCAATGAGTTGTGTTCCCGCTGGGACCCAAACCCAACCACTTTTCAGAGGGACCACTATCATTCACTGAGACACCGGAATATCTAACTGATGGTCCCTAAACAGAATAAGACATGGATTCGGGATCTCACTGTAAGCCACAATAAAATTAATAATACTGAAAAACCCTGTTTATGTAGTTATACTCCAAATTTGATCTTATTATCTTGATAAAACACTTTACACATGTTTATCAATTCACAGAAATCACATAAAGAGTTAGCAAGACTAGCCTACTGTCTGAACATTAGGAAGTCAAACACGATCCAATGACATGAAATACAACAACCGCAAATTCTATCAAGTATTTCCATAAAAGAAAGTGCCAAAGAAGATTCGCTTTTCTTATTTTGTAAGATGAGACTGATTGCTATAAGATTTTCTGAAAAGTTTACGCACACATGCCTATGTACGCCTACACGCAATAGGATGTTCATTGTAACACAAATATATGTGCAAAAGTATTTCAGACAGGATAGTATGTTGCACGAAAATAGATTTCTTTGCTTGCTTCCTTAGTATGTAGAAATAGAATAATAACAACCAACATAAGACTTAACATTTACAGCATAAGAATAACGCAAAATGTGAAACAGTAGGAAGTAAACAAATAAACAAACAGACGAATACCCGTTCATCAACGTAAGTCAAAGTTTAAACCAGAATCTGACTGTTTGTCGTTTTTTTTGGCAATATATACTATCTAGGACAAAAGGTCAACCAGTTTACACAGTAATATTTTGAAAAATACGTATTAACTAACACACACACACACAAAGATGATTGTATAAATATACAGAAAAAGGAAAGCAAATACTATTAGTATTATAAGTTTCAGAGAGATACATAGAATACAACTTGCCTGATTAAAATGGAATTGTTTTTCAACTTAAATTTCTTTTTAAGTAGTGGTCTTTTCGCTCTGATTTATTGGTTTAATATGTTTATTTCCTGAATGTATCAGGAGCACAAAATGAAGGCAGAAGGAGGTGAGAGTAATTGTGAAGGTCATCAGTACCAAACATTTATCGAGTAATTTTATTCATAAGAGAATAAATAATAACAGTTTCATTTTTATTCAAGTATTGGTTTGTAGGGATTTGGTTGATTGGTTACAGGATTTCATCATGAGCTGACACTACTTAGAGAACCATTGGAAGACCTGCGAATACAGGACAGCCAACCGTTTCGTCCTAGTTTGGGACTCTTCAGCAGTACGCACCCCACCTCTGGAGGAGGTTCGAACCCAGGGCTTTCTGGTTACAAGGCGAGCTAGTAGACCATTAAGCCACTGGGACCCGATCCAATGGCCCATGAATTCTAACTTCTGTCAATTCACGATATAGCGCAACCGCTAGCCAATGTCTTCGGCGAGTATTTGTCCCCACACCCGACCTGCTGCACCCTATTGGTTACGACTTCCCACTGGAACTCCAGGTAACTACCTACCTGAATAGGGCCAGTCGCCAGTGAGCATCTCATTGGTGACCAGGAGGGTGCAGCAGGTCAGGTGTGAGGACAAATACTCGCCGAAAACATTGGCTAGCGGTTGCGCTATATCGTGAATTGGCAAAAGTTAGAATCCACGGGCCATTGGATCGGGTCCCAGCGGCTTAATAGTCTACTAGCTCGCTTTGTGACCTGAAGGCCCTGGGTTCGAACCCTGGCAGTGGGTGCGTACTGATGAAGAGTACCAAACAAGGACGAAACAGCTGCCCAGTACTCCCAAGTTTTATTTTTTATTCAATCAAAGATCTGATGAACCATTCGGTCACATCTCAATCCCAGTTCAGATCAAATCAATATTATTTCAACTATCATGCTTACATAAGACACCTGTAAAGTAAAATAACTTTCATTTCAATGGGTTTTATTCGATGCAGATGTAATGATATCACTAACTCCATTGCCAATGCTTAAGACTTTACATATAAAGGATGCTTTGAATAATTTCAATATGCACGATTAATATACCTTCTTTATTTTATCTAGTAACAAAAACAACTTCATATTGAAGGAATGGGAAAGAAACCCAAACGGAAAATATGTACAAAACATCCTTGAAGTTAATAAATATTGTAAAAACAAAAGAAAATAGATTGAGACACATCTGCTATTGTTGTGCGCAAACAATCTAATAGTACACCTACGCATGTACGTACAGCATTACTCATCAGCATTACTCATCTTTATTTGCATCTGTGCCTTTAGTAGTGAGTCACAGTTTTTAGTGTATGAACTGCTCAAATTTGAAGAGTAGCTGGAGTGTATTCTAATTTTATGATCCATCTCTATCTGAGAGTTGAATAGCTCAAATGATAGGAGAAACAACTAGTTACAAAAGCTTTCTACACGTTCCAATAAAAATTCATTGAAAAACTACAAATAACATCTGTTGTTTTGTTACTGCTTATCAAAAAAGGAATATAAACACATGGGAGTTTTATGTGATAGGAGAGTTTTTTGTTTCTCTGTTTGACAGTAGAACAATCGTTTCAGTTACACAGAAAACCACGCATATTATACGAATCGATGGGTATGCATAGATTATTTAAAAAAGAGAAAAAAAGTAGTAAGACGATGCACACACGTGATACATATAATAAGAGATCATATCAGAGAAAATGTCACATGAGAGATATTACTACTACTACTACTACTACTACAACTACCACTAACTAACTAATTAACACACACTATAGTAATCGATACCATCCTTTTTTACATTGTTAAACTGGTCCAATACTATATTCATAATATGTAAGAGCTTCAAAGAAAACTGGAGTGAAATTCCACCTGGAAGTGTTTCTTCCCTAGCATAGAAATTTCAGTGAATTTAATCGATAAGACAAATTAACGAAGACATCAATAGTACATTAGCTAAAGAAATCTACTGTCCCTACCTTCAAGACTAACAATTATATCACGATGAAATAAAAAAATGTAGATAGTTATTATGGAAAATAAATGACATAATTCATATAAACTGTGATCAAGATTTAACCGAATAGTTCCAAAATAAAGGGGCGACGAGTGGGAAGTAGACATTCGGAAAAATTATATTTGTAAAATATCAGCGAAATTGAAATAAGTAATTCCAATGTTTAGTTCAGGAAAACTGGTCTGAACTACTTCATGGAAATTGGTTGAAATTAAAATTGCTTCAATCCACTCTTGAATCAAATAATTATTCTAAAGCCTTCATAAAAAGATATTGAAAATGTGAAGATAAGGATAAATCGAAACCTGTTGCCAAGAATTGGGTTAGTACAGTCGTGATTCCTTACAGCAAACAAAAGCATCGGATGAGTTAAAGCGAATCCTTAACAATCATGACATAAGAATGCATTTCCGTGCAACTAACACCTTACAGTCATCACTGGTGAAGGTTAAAGATAAAATTAAAGAAGACAACCAGCAGAATTGTGTGTACCAGATCAGTTGTGAGCACTGTGACGCCGTATATGTAGGAGAAACTTCCACACAGATAACTATGAGAGTGAATGAGCATAAACAATGTCTAAATGTGGTTCCAAAGACCTCTGCAGACTTGAAGGAGCCAGAAAACATATTGGCGATTACACTGCACTCCATGGAAACGGGACACAAGAGTGTCTTTGATAGGACTAAGGTGCTACAGAAAGGTTTTGGTTCTCATAAAGAAAGGCTGACTGAAGAAGCCCTGTATATATAAGTGAATCCCGAACAGATGTGAAGGTGTGATGCTAGCTGATGCATCGCAAATCCTGATTAATACATTAATAATGGATATGCATCACTAATTAATCATACTTAATCTAATCTAAACTGTCTGTAGAACCCTTCTTTCTTTTCGAGATCTGCGTTGTTTGTGTGTGCATAGCATTGTATAACTGACACTTTCCTCCCTTTGGAGTTAAATCTGGCGGTCGTTATCCTGGGCGATATCGCCTTCCATTGTATCAGGGCTTTCGTTGCTGTCGGTGACACCATGATAGCCATACCCTCGATGTGCTTGTGGTTGCCTTCCGGGTGGCCGGAGTAGACTACTGACTACCCCATTGAAAATTCGGTGAGTCCAATCCCATTTCATCAGCTTTCACATATTTCCAGTACTTGAATACAATATCTCTTCATCTCGTTTGTAATCTGGGTAGCTTTACCAGTCTCATACATAGTGTGGACGTTTCATTTCTCCACGTATAGCTTTTGTTTCTTCGCAAGGAGACTCATCGTACTGAAGTTTCTGAAGCAGCTTTGTTTACAGGGTGGGGTTGCTAGCCTCACGTTTGAGAAGGGGTTTATTACATGTATATGTAGTTTACAGAGGAACGATTTTATGGGTTGCTCCCTTAGAATCAGGAAAACAAAAAATAAAGCAATCAGAACAACACAAGTAAAAGGAATAGGCATTCAAAACAGGAAGGACAGTGACAACATCAACAAAAAACCATAGCAGTAGTATCACTGTCAAATACAGTTAACGAAGATGACATCAAAACCATAGACTCACTGACTTCAGTCAACTTGGTTACGCAAATCCAACAATATATACAATTATAGATATTATTTAGCGTTAAATAGTCACAAAATACCAGACAGTTAGTCATAGGTAATATAAGTCAACAAGAGTATATCCAGAGATTCAGTGTTCGAAGGTAAAGAAATTACAATAAATTGCATAAACACCATAGAAATAAGAGTTTTATTTAACTAAGCAAACGTAGCCTACTAATCGAAATGCGCGTCAAGTGACTTTAGAGTACTGAGTTGGATTATAATTGGTGTTATGTGATAACAGTAGCCATTATGCATAAATGGTGGGGTTATTTCGTACAACTATGATATTATGAAATTACTTAATAAAATGTATAAAAAATTTCAATAAAATGAGCAGATTATGAGGAGGCTATCTAAGATAGCTATGAGTTAGTAGAATACTATTTATGTAAACAGTGATGACTGAAGGTGGAATGAAATGCTCGGTAGAAGAAGGTTTCGACTCAGGGGTCTGTGAAGCTCTAGTCAGGTGAGCTACGAAACCCAACTGCCAATCCGAGCATAATCTCATTGCAATCATCATGACTGATTATTGAATTCAAACATACAATGGATAATAAATGCATTTAAAGCGAACTTTGCAATATAAACTGAAATTAGGTAGAAAATCGTTGAGAAACTAAGAGGGACAATACAGCTATAGGACTCTCTGGCAACCAGATAGATGACTTTGTAAAAGATCGGGCCAAATACCGTCACACTGGGAAGAAAAAATGAAATCAATATTTCGTCTATCACCGAGATGATATTCGATTGCCAGGAATTCTTAACTTCTATCAATCTCCAATAAAGCTACAGTGTTGATAAGTGATATCGGTTGGTAATTCTTGTAAAATATCACTCTACGAACCTCACGGTTAAAGCCTTCGTAGTAGAATTTTGAAAAATCAATTGCAAGCTACTGACCAATGTAAAATTGACCTACATTTCGATGTTTGGAGTATGAGACTTTGAATAGATTCAACACGGATATCATTATGAAATTACAGAGTAGTGATCCTGCATTATGAATTGACAGAAGTGGAGAAATGTTAAACTTACCCCCCTGGAATGCTCTTTAGTGCACAATAATGCTGTGTTGTTCAAATTAACAAGTAAAATACATCCAGTAATTTTATTTTTTCCCCGCCATGTTTATCCACTTAATCTCATCAGCCAATGGAATTAACTTAAAAATCAATGGAACCGCCAGAAAGCTAACATTAAAAAAATTAACTTAATATTTCAACAGTGACCAAATGGTGGCATTTTTGTGTCATAATCAAAAAGAGATAAAGTAAAGCACCAGTCTAGAAGGCATGTTATGATAATTCGATGTAAGTCCGTATCATGAATTAGTGCATGTATATGAGTGTCTGTGAATGGATTATATATACAACATACATACAACATAGCATGAATGTCTCTGGAAGGTTAATGTACCTATATGTATCGTATCAGTACATTAAGGACAGAAAGGATAAAGATGTTGAAGCAGTAGCGATAAAATATATAGGAGTAACAAGTGTATGAATTAACAGCATACGTGTAAAGCTTAATGAACTGTAGCTTCATTATATATATGTATGTTCATTAGTTTACCACTAATGCAGTTAGACAATGCAATGGAGTTAACTAATTTATACATAATTCAAATGTTAGAATGCCATAAGAGATAAAAAGACGACACTTTAACTAGATAAACATACTTGAACATATAATAAATTCAACTGTACAGGATCCCGAGCATCCACATTCATATCAGAGAAGAAATATCGACGTTTCAACAGGAGAACTTCTTTCTCATCTACACCTTGTTGCCTTAAACTCTGAGATGGATTCAACCATTCCACTAAAATAAATATTTTTTCAAATACAAGAAAGAAAAGAAAAGAAAGTTAACCATGTGAATAGAAAAGCGAGAAGTGAGCAACACAAATAGAAAAGGAAGCGAAAATCAGTGACAATTAATACTCACTTAAAAAATAGAATGCAAAAGTGACCATTCAATTGATGAACCTATCTGTTTTACATTAACAATACAACTCAGTCAATTCCAGATGCCTTTCACCCCAGAGTGGAAGTATGTAAATAATATTTAAGGCTTCTCGTTTAATTAGTGTGTTTATTCAGTTAATCTTGACGTTAGATCCCATATCCACGTAGGCAACACTGATAATTTTACTTTATATATTTGAATTATTCTATTATTTCAATAAGGCAACTATCGTTGTCATCATAATCTTTGTCTTAGGCGTGATATCTGTCTATCTATTAGGAGACTTGTTTCAGTAGATATCTCCATCCTTCTTTACTTCTGCAAAACATGTCCATTGGAAGTGGGGGATATGAGGTGCCTACTTGTTTTTGACCACACATGTCTATGACCACCTATCTCTCGTTTTATTTAACAGAATGTGGTCAATAATAATGAGGTTACGGGTAGAGTGAGTGCAGTGTCAGGAGGGAAAGTCAATCAATGAGATTCTGAGGCTTAGTGGATTGAGAAGACGAGAACACGTGCGTTACGCCTTCCAACCGATTATTTTCCTCGTCGAAAAATGTTAGCTGATATAGACTAAGCTTGGTAAGGGGTAAGAGGTTGTTAAACTGAAAAATGGCACCAATTAGTGAAGTATTCGATTGTTGATTTCAGGCGCGTCGGGGAATGGAAGTGAAAATATAATGCAAAAGTAATCATTCGGTTGATGGATCTATGTGTTTTAAAGAAAAGATACACTCATTACATTTCAGAGTTTTGAAATCATTGCAATTAGTATTTTCAATTCTGTCTCTTTAGGTAATAAATAGTCTCTGCTCACTAAACACAACTAAGGCAAATAAAAAATTTGTGCTGTATTGCTCAGTGAACGAAAGCTATAAAAAAACAGAACAGTTGATTTTTTCTCTTACAATGACTGAGACGAATGCTTAAAATATGGGTAATAGACTAATTGTAGAGCGATGACTGCAACAGTTGTGTTGACCAAAAAAATAGTTTAAAAAATTCATGGATAGATTTATTGTGTGTACATTGCTAGATGGAAAGAAAAGTTAACACAAAGGATCAGAAGAATACAAATATACACTCTGATTGAATGATAGCAAACAATACACTGAACTGAGTCAGTGAGATCAAGAAAAGCATATTATTATCAACATGCAGAATGACAGTTGGTTACTGATTAATCAAAGTTATACAGATTGGATTAATAATTTATTGTGCTAAAAGATAAAACAATGAATAACTGAAACAGCCTATTATTTCTGAATTCTAATGAATTCCAAATGGAATGTGGGGCTTCAAAGAATAAAATTTCATATTAACAGGATAATACGAGCTCGTTTTATATCGTGGATTCTCTTCAACTGTGTGCATCACAAATAAAGCAATTATAATATATTACAAAATTTCTGAACATACCTTTTACAATGATTTCAAGTTTTAGATAGGCTTTCAAAGTAACTAATACACATAGAAAAACATGGCTACTTCGGTTCGCAAAAGCAATTGTCATCAAAAGATTTTGAATCCACCTGTGCATACAGAAAGATAGTGTGACTAATCTCTTACTACCATGGTAACCATAATTGTTTTGTTCAGTTCAGGCCACAAAATTGATTTTGACAATATTGAAATAATCCAGAAAAATTTCAGGAATCACAATGAACGCCTAATATCAGGAGCGCTTCATATAAAGTGGGATCCAAATTGTCTGAACAGGAATGATGGACTAAAACAGAATCTGACCTGGCTACAACACCCTCCTCCCTCATGAAGTGGAATAATCAACACAAATGTGATAAGCAAGTTCACTATGCAAACACACACTACTTTTATAATGTTACACACTGATCACATCCAACAATCTACACTTGATTTTGTTATCTTTACCAATTGACCAACTTGATAACGAAAAACAACCCCAGAGAGACGAATGATGATGATCAAGTTAGCAAACTTTATTTTGATATCATAACAAATGAACTATTACTTTGTTATTTGGTTTAGTAATCTTCATTGCTATTTTGACTTTCAATATGTCTCTTTATCTTGACCTAAGTCTATTTTCTCACCTCTTAACTCTTTGTTATATATGTGTTGAGATTTTGTAAATTATGGTTTAATAATACTTTGATAAAGCTATTAGCATTAAATAGCGAAACGTCAGTAAAAACAACATCGTTTTGTTTTTCATTCATTGGGACATACAAAAAACCTTTATTATAATGGATTACTTCACTATTCACTCCCCGGCCCTTCTCCTGAAGTGTTCACCATAATATGTATAAATTAACTCTGTTGTTGTCTGCTGTATTTTTTGTCTAGTCTATCCTTGTTTCCAAGCAAAACTCGAACTCCATCCCTTTGTCTTATTACTATATAAATAGTTACTCTTTTAACACTAAATAATTGTCGACTCACATCATCCTTGAAATTATGTTGCCTTTACTTCCTATCTATGAATTGAAATCATTGTAAAAAGTGTGTTTAGAAATTTTGTAATATATTATAGTTGGTTTATTTATGATGTAAGCAGTTGAAGAGAATCCACGAAATAAAACAAGCTCTTATTATCTTGCAAATATGTTCGTTCTTACTTTATTCAAACTAATAAAGGGAAGTGGCTGTATGAAATTTTCGAAATTTCAGTAGCAGTCGTGTTATTTTTTACGGAATGAGGTTGCTAGTTTTACGCCCAACATCCTTTTTTTCGCTAAGCCTACTACAGGCTAGATGGAGTTTGAGAAGGCACTGGGTGAGAATTGAACCCAGTTCACTTCCGAGGTTGGCGAGGACCAATATTTATAACAACAATAACAGTTACATTTTGGAAATTTACACACGATACAGGATTCTTAGCGTAATTTTTCCCAAAATATTTACTCCTCGTATAGGATCTTCAAATAAAATATGCATCGACAGTATATCGTATGCATCGTCGTCCCACCTCAAAACAAGACACAGTAATAGTAAAGAATAGATATCACAGCCAAATGACACTCAACTAACCAGTGAGATCACTCAACATTACATATGCATGCTTTTCATACTCTTCGTTGTAAGTTTCACCCTGATTTAGAGTTAGGATTAGAATAGGATCTCATTAAGGGTGTTATGTTTAGATTATGGTTAGAGTCGGGGTAAGGTTAGTGTTAGAGTAGGATTATGGTTTAGGTTTGGATGAAACTTGCAGCGAAGATTATGGACAGTATCCATTTGCAATGTTGAGAGTTGTGACTATGATCATCATGATATATTCATCTTAAAGTTATTCATTCATTAGGATTAGGGAATCCTAAAACTCCCACATATACAAATTCTTTTGAAGGATTTTTGGGATATCGAAATGACGGATTAGAAAGGTATATCTCTATAACCATTCCTATTAGAATAAAGGAGCTGTGTTTGAAGCATTTTAGAGGCATATACACTGTATAATTCATTTTTATCACGTATTATATATATATATATACCCCTTAAACATACTTTTTGATACTAAAATGCCAGAACATTTCAAGTAGAAGAATGTGACTAGGATAGCCCAAGGTTATTATTTGGCCATGATACATATTGCTTACAAAGATTAAATCCTCTACGACATTTCCTCCTTTATTTTTTTATGAAGTACATAGCCATAGGCTTGAAGTCAGTCAAAAATTTACGTGACTTCACATTGCAATCCAAAAACGTAATTGTAAGAAACGGAGAACTGTTGATGTATTTACGGTGGATAGAAATTTACGTAGCTCAATAGTTTAAGCAAAACGCCTAAAAACCATTGAACCACCGTCTGTTGAATTATTACTTTATTTTTTTGACCTGTGCAGAAACATATTTCTTTTCTAAAAAATATGCATTTTGAAACTTATACATTTCATACTAAAGTTAGCGCTGGAAATTTTGACCACAGAGACAAGGAAAGCGTAGAAAAATTAAACCATCCAGATCAAAGAATTCAAGTACACCAATCACTCATCTAAGCTACCACTCGTCTCCATTATTTCTATATTATTAGTTATTTCAAATAAATTTTTAGAGCTATTTATTTTGTATTAATAACAGAAAATGGGTGGGTTTCGTCACTATGTGACACCAGTTAGAGAACCACTTAAAACACTAAAAAGCACCTTATAACTTAATCATCGTAGTTTGAGATTCTTAAGCAGTACGCATCCATGGCCCTCACCAAGGATCGAATTTAAGAGGAATCGCAAGTGGATAAGGAAGCATGAGCTAATAGTTCATAAAACAAAAGCATAATAATGAGAACAGGTTATAGAGAGAAAAATACGGACTGAGTGTAAAAGAGACATTCCATTCCTTCTTCTTAGTATCATTACTAATATGAAATGTTTCAGTGTTTTAATTATTGAACAATTTAACGTTCACTCTTCTAGTAATAGTAATTTTACACAGTATTTTAGGTTTCACTTTGCTTAGTAAAGTGAACACCTATTATATCTTCAAAAAGATTGTAAGTAACCGATTAACTAATCGACTGATCAATGCAGAACTATACGCAGAATGGAATTAGTTCAGGTTGTTGTGCATCACAGAAGAACACAAACTTAAAAAAACTGATAGAATAAAAATGGCTTTGACTCTAAAGTATTAACAGTAAAGTCAAATACTATTAAATAACCTGATTTAAAGGATTTTATTCATAACAGTTATAATTATTCTACTCTAAAAAAAATTTAGTCCTTTGCGTTCCCAAGGGAACACAGGGCTTTATGCTAGAGTTTTGGAATTTCAGTGGCGGTGCTTTTTTACGGGATAGGGTTGCTAGCCTCACGCCCAACCTTCCGTCTTTACCGCGCTTACTACTGGCGAAGCGAGGTAGAGGAGTGTGTCGGCCGGGGGTCGAACCTTGGAATGCTTGCGTGGTTGGCCACTGTTCTACGAGTGAATCGCCAAAGCAGCAGTTATAATAGCCGATATGAATCTAATAAAAATGAACTACAAATAACTATATGAAGTAAACTAATCGATTAGATGATCGGTTAACGTGAACAGAGATGAATAAAGTTTGTTTTCCTTCTCCAAAGCGTTTTCACGTGACCATGTGTCCCTTCGACAGTGAATAAAGCAAGGTAGTAGTGGTTACATAAACCAGTTTTTCAAATATATGAAGGTTAATAAACAGGTGTTAAAAACTCCAGTGGTATGAATAATAAACACGAAGGTCCGAAAAAGAGTTTTAATCATATGATTCTAACAAAATAATTAACACTTGTTCGTAAAATTACACTTCAAGTTGAACAATCATTTTGTAATTATGGTCTACTACAATCTGGATGACGTAGATTTTACATTAAGCATAGGTTTACTTTGTGAATTATCACTTTTGAAGTAAACGCCTTCTCCTTATACAGTTAATCAAAACTTTAGTAACCGGAACAGATTTTCTTTGAACAAGGCTATAAACTATACACTGAAAGGGAAAATAACTAACAAATTGAGTGATTTATGAGTTGTATGAGAACAAACATGCTCAACCATTTTCACGCATAGCAGTTAGTTGAAGAGAAATAAAAAACAACATTTAGTTGATTCCACAGAGAAAGAAATACACGTCATTATAAGGCATTTGGAACCGACTACAACTACCGATGATCGCATTCACTTGTGTAGAAACAACAAACAATAAAAACAAATAAATTATTATAAATAAGAAGCATGAGGATATTTTTCATTAAAACAATATAGAGTACTTATAAACCTATCCCAATTTGTATTTGGTGAAGATATAGCCCATTGGTTTAAGTACTGAACCTTGAACCATTTTATTTCATTTTCGAATCCTCTTAATTTGGCCTGAGCCGCATCGTAGTGCAATTAAGCTTCATACAGTACGTGTGGCTCATAACGCAGTAATCGGAAAATCCGTTCCTGTTAGTTGACAGAAGTGAAAAGAAATTTTCAATACTTTTCTGCCGCCTTTGACACAATCCCAAACAGATTGTTGGACAGTTTTATTAATGTATTTAGAAATAGCTAAATGTTTGAGTAATTTGTTTGGACATTAGTAACAACAATGCTTTCCAGAAAGCATATTTTATTCCATTTTTAACCACACGTCAAATGAATGCACCTAAATTTCAGCAAGTAATATTCCCATGAACGCATTAACTTGATACGCATTATTTTAAACTCCAAAGCATCGTAGATTGAACTAAAGAGGGATATTTGCCAAACCTGATATACGCTCTTTCCTCGAGGATTCGGAAGATATGCAGCGAGGAAGTGGTTGAAGAAGAACTGCGTAATCTTCGAAAAACCCTGATGGAAAACGGTTTCCCGCCCAGGTTCATAGAAAAGAATCTCAAACCTAAGAAGACTTCTGAACAAGTCCAATCCGTCCCAAAGAAAATGCTTCTGCTTAATCTAGAATTCAAAGGTGATATTGAAGCAGATTTCCTTCGCAGACGCCTCTCAAAATCGCTTAGGAAAACATACTTCACCGCTAGCCTACGACTGACGTTTTCCTGCAAGAAACTGTTCAGCCAGAACGCGAAAGACAAGCTGTCGCATTGGGCCACCTCAACGTGCATATACCAGTTTACTTGCTCTTGTGGAGCTGAGTACGTTGGCCGTACCATGCGCCGACTTGAAAAACGCGCTCGTGAACACTATCCAGCCTGACTAATAAAAGGAGAACGAAAACGGGTAAATAGTTCGGTGACAGAACACCTGGTGAATTCAGGACATTCAGTGCCACTCGAAAAATCCTTCAAAATCATTTACAAGATTCGATCAAACATATCAAAGGGAGTAAAATCAAGACATCTGGGCATAGCCGAGGCGCTAGCTATACAAAAGCTCAAACCCACGCTTTGTATACAAAAGAAATACGTCCAACCCCTGTCCTTGCCATGGCCATCATAAACAGGTAATTTTTAGTAATCACCATCCCATCGCCTTTCTTATCTAAACTTCCTGTTTATTCATGTTATTTCAAGTTTTTCTTAATCCCTGTTTACACTACCATATTTTCATACCCGAACTTAGTGTTTATTTTGTCATTTTACTATTTCTACATATTTAATCCCTGATTGCATAAACAATTATTCATCACATTAGTTTTTATCCAAACATCCTGTCTATTTTGTTATTTCTACATTTCTAACCCCTAATTGCACAATGTCAGTCTTCTTAGTTATTATAATGCTACTTTGTTTGTTTTATCCATCCCCCTGTTTATTATGGCATTCTAATTCCCAATTTTAATTTTTATTAATTTGACCCTTGACCGGATATTATTCTGGAACTTTCCTATCCATTTGATATAAATACACGAATGTACAGCCTAGATGATGACTTCGTCGAAAAGAAAATTTTCTTCGCTGCAACTGTCTTCTTATTTACTCCTATGACCCAATGTGTATATTCCGTGATCAAAAATATACCTTTCAGACATTAGTAAAATCATGCATATATATTGGTTTTAGTCACAAAGTTTAACACTGTAAGAAAAAAGTTAATAAATTAAGATACTACTCACTGTCATCGTCTGTGTGTAGTTTACGCTTCAACCTCTCCATTTTCTCTTGATCACGCATCATGGTTCCAGTATGACCAGTTGTCCGTCTCAATGTCATTGTACGCTCTTTATCTGTTTCATCTCGTTCACGTGCCAACAAATATTCTTCATAATTGTAAATACCTGTGTCAAGAGTAAAAGGGTAACAAAGAAGTCATCAGAAAAGTAAACCAAACTAGGATACTGTGTGTGATAGCAATACCGTCCTAGGTAAAGAAAAAACTGCCTATTTTTTCTGAAAGGAAATGATGAACCATTTATAACGAGACGTCTTTCCCCTCATACTTTGCTTAAGCTGGTATGTCAAAAGGTGCTTCACTTTAGGCAACTGAGTTCTTTTTACTTTCTTATGAATCACAATGTTATTCAAAAGCTAATTTGATTGCGTATGCTGAAAATCTGTGTTGCAGCTGTTCTCTCATATGAATGTTTACCTATCTTAAGTTAATTGATAATCTTTTTGAAATGATCTGAAAGAGAATTCCTCTAGATGTCTATTAACTTTAGTCTCAGGTGTGAATAAGACGTGTGTAAACCGCCTCAGTATTGTGAATCTTGTAATATTAACTACAATATTATATATATATATATAGTTTTTGAGGTTTTAGAGCAACTGATCAATCTTGAACTACATTTGATTACGGAGTAACATTATTTCAAGTTTGAACATGGATTGATATCAGTTAGAGAACCACTGGAAACCAGGGAATACTGGACTGGTGTTGCGTCTTAGTTTCAGACTCATAGGCGGTACGCACCCACTGGGTTTCGAATCCAGGATATTCCAGTTACGCGGCAAGCCCGTAGACCATTCAGCCACTGGGACCCGATTCCATAGCCCATGAATTCTAACTTCTATCAATTCATGATTAATCAAAAAACCTTTGGAAGTCGGAAAGCATTGGATGACTATGTCGTCATAATAATTTGAGATTTTCATATCCGCCAGTAACTTCCTGTCCAGTGACTGAGTGTAAATATCGGAAGATTAACGTCATGAATCGATAAATCTGCTATCAGTTTTTTTAAACAAGCATTAATATATGAAACAGGAAGAGGGAATAAATTTTTAGTAATATTGTCTGTTGATGCATTCATTCTTTCATTGTTCACTAGTATAAAATGACTAAAATCAATGTAAATGCATCTAGAAAAAAACTGTGGAATTGAATGTAAAACAAAGAACTGGGACAGCTTGAATAATAATGGGAAATATCACGCCTACATTTATTTAGAATTTAACTACAAAAGATAATCATTAGTGTTAGTTTTTTTCAGAGACTGTCAGTAATTCAGCATAGTGTATTTTGTCGTAAGCAACAGTTAAACAAGATACGCTTTTTTTGCGGTAAATAATAAACTGAACTCTATGAAAAAGATATACTCATGACAACACAAGTTCTGCAGATACAAGAATAATAATAATAATAATTGGAATATGGTGCAATGGTAAGTGAAAAATGAAACGCAACAAATAAGCAAACATTTTTGTATTTGGCAATGAATCAAACATGTTGTGTATGTGGGAGAGAGAGAGAGAGAGACAGAGGGAGGAAAGGTGTAATATCACATTTTTGCTATGTCTGGGTGAATGGATGGCATTTGGAAAGCATTGGAAATGTGGATCACTGGCTTAATTACCCAGCTTTCAGACAACCGATTCACGATTTGAATTGATCTCCACCTACTCTTCAACCTAGGTAACTAGGTAGTATCACCAGACTACACAGAATACGTGCGATTCAGAGCCTAGCACACAAGAAATGTATTCCGGTTAAATGAGTTCTGACAGCATTTTGAGGGCATGGCCCATTTGGTTCGAAGTAAAAAAACTTGATTTTAAAAGAAAAGAATACAGAGTACAGATAGGCATATTATGCTACATGCAGTGAGTCTGTAAATCATTCCACTACTTAATTGAACGAAAAAACTAAGAGAAGAGTTAAAAAGTGATGTATTCCTGTGAGTTTAAGGGCGTAAATTCAATAAAGGAAAAATTACAATGATAAAATAAATCAAGTCGAATCACAAAAACAAAAGAGATTAGAAACCACTAGAATATCTCGCCTAGACTGACCATGGATTCATATCACGATATAAAGGGGTGTTTTGTGTAGGAGTGGTAGTTCTTTTATTATTAAGTTGAAATTAACACAACTACCATGACAATATATGGTAGACATGAAGTAATTAATTATGCTGGAAGAACTTCTATTATAGGAGAACTGAACAGGTAAAAAATAACTGTCTATGAAGAGGAAAACCGACAACACATAACTTGTAAATTATAAATCTGCTTTTTTCCTCCTTCCATTCTAAGAGGAACATAGGGTTTCGAACTATGAAGTTTCAGCAGTACGGTTGGTGTTTTTTTCAGGGTGGGTAGCCTTACCCCAGCCTCCCTTTTTCTCCATGTTTACTATCGGCTAGTAAATTAGGAGAGATTCAAGAGTTCGTTAACAGGGAGTCGAATCCCAACCTCACGACTGGTTGAAGAGAATTTAAAAACTGAATCATCGATGCACACGCATATATATATATGAGTAAAATATTAGCTGACTGATTGTAATAAATTAGGAAAACTAAGTTTCACCATTCCAACAATTAAAAAAATTAACTCCTTGAAGATCGAACAAAATAAAATGTAATTAATGTAATTTTAAAAGTATCCCAAAGTGCTTGACAAAATATTATCTATATGCTCATTTTCTCCTTAGAAATAAAAATAAGACAGATATTCTAAAAAAGTCAATGAAATTCACTTTGAATATATATATGAGCAGTCTGACACTGGACAGTAATCAAACATGACGTAGCCAGTCATTATTCCTACCATTCATAAATTATATAATCCAGTAAAGCGGGTTACAAAATATTAAGAGCTTCACTTTACAGACAGTTGATGTTGGAACACCGGAAAACAACTCCTACAGTAAAACTTAACACAAATTTCGATAAATACAATTTGAATACTTCTAATAGGATAATCTTCAGATTACTTGTTGTTGTGTTGAATGGTCTGTGAACACATAGATTTAATATAAAGCATAGTCGTGTTTAGTTAGAGTTTCAAATCTTTGGTGTTCACAGTTAAACAGTATTGAAAGACGAAAGTAATGCGCACAATTGTAAGAATAGAACTTTAGCGCCGCGGTAGAGTACAATTCCGTTATACAGTAGATTTATTTTTTAAAAAACCACACAGTGATACAGTATTAATTTACTGATAGTGTGCCTTGATATGATTATGAACAATAAATTGTGGTTGAGATGTCAGCAGTGAATCATACTGTATTACTGTGTGCTTTCCTCACATAAGTTTATTCCATAATGCACACAATACTGGATTAAGCAAAAGAATAGGTTATTGATAAATGAAGCTTGTTTAACAAGTTGTGCAATATGAATATAAGATAAGTGTCTTACATTTTGTGTATTGTACAGTTTTCTCTGATTTTCAGTAGTGAAGATATCTCATGACCATATACATATATATATCTTAACAGAAGAATAAAGAAATGTTACTCAATAACCATTTGCTATTCCATGCAGTTAACAATGAGCCATACTTAGTGCCCGAATTACTGGTTGTTGGAAGCTCGTCAAACACAGTGCAGTTTTAAGAATAGTGTCAGAAACATCAATGGATCACAAAGTACCATGACCTACAATCACATGGATGAATGCATACATCGCGCATGGTACGATTTCTCTATAGAGCATCTGTTTAGTGACTGGGAGACATTCTTACAACACACAAGCTACATATATACAGTGTAATGCCATGTTTGCAGTATATTTTAGTGTAGGTTTCAACGATTATAGGACTTTTCTTTGGATCTGAATTCTGATTGTGCGTTAAGCGTCACTGCAGTTTTGACTACAATAGTTTAACTTTACCCAAATTTATATGAGTTAAATCATTTAATGCTCATCTAGTGGTTTAATACCAAATAACTACCAATCACAATCTGGTTGAAAATCAAGCATTCAAATGTATATGTTACGTAAGAAAATATTTTACCCTAACCCAAACGGAGTATATTGATGGGCATTATACTATCATAGAATCCTAACCAGTTTCCTTAAAGCATATTAAAAATTTTATAATAAGACAAATGTATACATGACGTGATTATTATTCATAACAATATAATTTTACATTGAATCACACCTACATGAAAGAGTACACACCTCCACTTTTAAACTAACTGTCAAAATCAATACAAAAATATACACTTTCTCTTTTCTTTTTTTGTTTTACAAGTATCCACACAGTGAAAACAATTTCTTTAAACAAAAAACATGTAACAACCTGCATAATATTTTTTTTTTCCAAACAATCCGTTTTCTTCAATATATATATATATATATATATATATATATATCATTGAAGTAGTACACAAAACTGACTGATTGGTTTCAACTTAGAACTCTGCAAAGAAGTGCAACTGTTTAACTTGCCACACATCATAGTAACACTCAAAGGAAAAGAAAAGAAATAAACAAAAGAGCATAACATATGCAGGAAAAAGAATAGTAACATGGCAGAACATGAAGATTTGATGAATCTGGGAGAGAACAGAGACTTAATGCATCTGTGTCATCAGGAAAAATCTTGATCCATATTTAATAGCAATAGCCTCAAGTAGTTAATTCCTAACATCCTGTCAACTCCAACCAGGCAGTTTACATCTCCTGTCAATGACTTCATGGTCTGGCCATTTCCAACTCCTTTCCAACCTAGTTCTATGTCAGTTAACATTGCACATCGGGAAAGGCGGTGGCTGGGCATGTGCAACACCTGTCCTAACCTTCAAAACTTCATTGGCTAACTTTCCCTCCTTACAAAACACTACGCCTAACCTGGATATTGCTCGCCATATTTTACCATTTAACATGGGAGATAGAATGAAAACATTTGTGATCAAAGAGAGATTGGGCTTTGTAAGGGATTTTGACTAATCTCAATGTAGTTTTCATCACGAATAGACATTAACGAGAGAATTATTAAAAACCAGAAAGAGTTGGGTAGATGTCCCTCCCCAGTGCTCCACCATTCAGTAGTGTGCATTAGCGACCAGAATCAAGATCACCAACTGTGCTGTCCAATGTCCCTCGGTCTTCAATAATTCTTCCCTAACAAATGCTCGTTCGTGACGAAACCTGCACTGATGAGGCACCTTTGATGGTCGTCTTAATAAATACTGGGTTAGCTAACACTATAAACCGGGCCTGAGAAAATCCGAAATCTCCATGTCTGTATGTATCGACAAATACTTGTCTACAAATCAAACGCTACTCTAGATAACTTTATCACCAGTTATCCGAAAACATAAATAAAGATAATAATAACAACTATTACTTCTTAAAAGTCTACGAAATATCTCCCTTATAATATAGTATATACATGAGGTACTATAAAAAATAATGCGAATTCAAACAAGACATGAATGTTCATAGAGAACTCATTTTTGTCACTTGGAGTTGTTAGGATAAATGAAAAGGGACAGGGAGATAAATGATGAGGAAAAAGAACCGAGTTCATTACAGATCTGTCGATGAAGATGTATATTCCACTCGAAACATAAGGAACGAATAATAACCACAGTAGAGATCGACCGATAAAACTGAAATATCATCATCTTGAAATGACATTAAGATATTGATTAATTGGTTGATTGGTCTATCGATTGATTGTTTTTCTTCTCATTTCCTCCGTCGTTTAAAACCAACTAAACATACACTTTTCTGTAATAAAATAATTTACTGAAAAATATATCGAATTTTGAAATTGAAATTAAAAATAAAAAACGAAAGTGAGACGAGTAAAAAAGAAAAAACAACACACGCTTAACTACTTCTGTAACAAACAGCATGGAAAAAGTGATCAATAAAAGCAAATCATAAGCAGTCAGCCATCTTTTAGTGGTAGCTACCATTTTAATAATAATAATAGTAATAACTTTACAAAACAACATTCGAAGTAAGTAATGCGATGCATATATACTTACTTAATCAATAAATATAAAAATAAATCAACAAATAATTTTCTTGAATTTTTCCAGAAGAAAAGAAAGACAATACTGTGGAAAAGAAAATCTCGAATATAATGTTTTAATTTCAAAATCTATCTATACATATCAAGGTACATACAAATAAAAGAAGAGGAAAGACGAGTTACACTTTTCGATTTTTAATCTTAGTAAAAATAAATTCGGTGGACATTTATAAGCAAAACAGCACGCGTATGCCTGAAAACCGTTATAATCACTCTTTTAATAAAGCCTTTAAAAGAAATGAACTACACTTCAATATACGGAAAAAATACAAAAAAAAGCTAAACGATTGTATAAAAATGGTGAAATCAAAATAAGAAGTCAGATATGAAAAGTTTACGTCATTTAATGAGTCATAAAATGGCAGTGGATGGGAGTACTTGTGGTCAATCCTATTAAATACTCAATAAGTGGAGTTTTAAACCACTACTATCAAATGAGGCACCTCTTTTTATGCGAAGCGTGTTAACTATAATTATAGGATTTTATAACGTTTAATATTACGTCACATTCTCATTAAGTGAAACAGATTTCTCATGTTCGACAGTATGAGCCACACCACCCAGTTGTTTAGAGCTAAAGTAGGTGGGGTGGGATTTAAGCCCAACAGCTGGTTGGCATTTTCAGCTGTAACTTTACCTCTTCCTGATGAGAGTAGTTCTGAAGATGTCATCAAGTTAATAGCATTAAAAAGGTCTACGATCAACAGCAAACAGTTTCCATCCTCATGTTGAGTTTCAAATCGTCTACATTATACTCAATTATCATAATGAAGTAACCATTAAAACATTTGTGAGGAGTATGTCATAGAGATTTATCAGGTGGACGACATCACTAGTTGTACGTGAATTACCAAGTGGTACCCACTGCAAAGTAACTAAGTGATTAATCTAAATGCTTTTCATATGATTTCATGGTGTGTGGATTTTATGAAATGCAGTGGATAGATAAGCAGAGGGTGTAGAAGAAGAATAAGCGACTATGGACAATAGTCTAGATGCGATACCTAAAATAAGCGACTAATTCTATCAGGCATTAATTAGAAACTACGGATATACCAGACTGTTTTATTTAATCCGATTAGTCGATATTTTTAGTCTCTCTTGAATATCATCACATCGTGATTATTGTCATTCGATATTAAGTAATTTGTTGAATCCCAACAGACTACCTGACTAGTTTTATAAGTGATTACTTCGAATTAGAAAGCTGCATAATATCAGTTCAGACAAGTTAAACAAAACTGCACTTACCCATTTTAGTGCATATCATCAGCATAAGCTCTGCCACAGTTTTACTATCATCTACTTTTAGCGTTTTTCTGGTTCCATCCATTGTACGGATATAAAGCCAACGATATCGATATCTGTACTCCACTGTATCCTATGAGAAGAAAAAAAAGATTTAAGAAGAATGAGGTCCTTTTTAAAATAGTACGTAAATATGCGTATTATATTTGTACAGCAGTAAGTAAAATAAGCGCACACAGATTTATCATTGGAGTGACGGGGGTAGGAATCAAAACTGTGCTATCTGAGTTCTTAGTGAATCATACAGGATAATAAGAGATGAATATGCAATCAGCCTAATAATCAGGTTTCGTGCAAGACAGTTATTTGTTTCGAATACATGCTGACTTATATGAATCAGTTTTATCAAAGAATTCCAACTGGTCTAAATAATCAACTTTCAGGTAATGTGTCCCTTTCCATCTACATAAACTTCATCATCTGAATATTTCCTATTTGTACTAATCATTTATTGTAAAGCTATTAATCGCAACTATAACCATAATTTTTTAATAACATTAATAATTATGATAACCAGGTTGAGCATCAACAACACACTATTGTGGAAATGAATTGTTTACACTTCTGCAATACTGATGTCATATTTCTATACATACTATGCGTGTACAACGTGCTACAGAATATTCGAATTCTAATATATCACAGGAAAAAGGAGAGAGATGGACACACCTGCAACAGTCACCAAACATTGAAACATATAAGCGAAAACCAACAGATTCACAAAAGCAGCGAAAACAGCAATTCCAGTGAACACTGAAAAGATAGAGGTGAAGAAGATACCCTTCGAACCTAACAATAAATGCCAGTCACCATCAACAGGAATAATTTGAAGGAAGTCAACTAATCTACTTACTGAGGCAGTAACATTTTAAGTAAAGGCGCCAAAAATGAGGATTTCAGAAAACCAAGCGGTCAGTAATGCAAGACGGGCACTCATTACTCTGGAGTCAGTGTACAAATCTGCCACACTCAGCATAAACAACAGCTTCCAGATCTTCAACATCAATGACAAGTAAGTCACTGCTTATATACAGTTCAGAGATTTGATGAACAAGTCACCGAAAGCATTTCATCAACAACCCCTTTCGCTCAATACTCACGATCACCTGGGTAGAAATGATTCACAACAAAGAACTCTGGCAGCTGGTAGCGAACAAACCAACAAGCTATTGCCTAATAAATATGCAGAAGGAAATGAAGACAGACAGGACAGACGTTGATGAGACCAATGAGTGACGTCTCGCACCAGGCCCTCGAGTGACACCGAAATGGGACACGACTAGTTGGGCTTGGTCTGAGGGTGACATGGGAGGGATGAAAGTGTAAGGGCAATTGTGGAGCCACCTAAAAACACTGTGTAAACAGAGTGAAGTGAAAATGTGCTGTCGAAGCCCTGTGTCACATTTCGAAGCAGGAGAATAATACTGATAATAATATACATATCTTAATAATTAATAAAATAATTTTTCCTTCACGTTCCCAGTGAAACATAGGGCTTCAAGCTAGAAGCTTGAAGTTTCTGTAGCAGTGCTTATTTTTACAGGATGGGGTTGCTAGCCTCATGCCCAACCTTTTTCTCTTTACCAGCTTTATTTTTTGGCTTAGCGAGGTAGAGGAGTGCGTCGACCGGGAATCGAAACCCGGACCATGTGCATGGTCAGCGAGCGTCCTAACCGCTATGCCACCGACGGGTATATATATATATATATATATTTAATATGATATTATATTTCTTCCAACTGAATACACGTTTCTTCTAACTGCATAAATATGATTTTTATTTTCCTATGTACCCATTCACTCTTATAGTCAGACTCATTCTATGGATCTCCTAAAATTTAATTTTTTGCTGATCTCAGTACTAATATGTACCAGATGTTCCTATGGTATAATCATGATGTCCCGAATCTTGTTAGCAATCATTATTAATATATTTCAATCGAAATACTTGACAATGTACATCGACACTGGTCACGCAATCGATTGATTAGCCGACATTACACAAGATACAGTCAAAGATGCTTTCAGATTACTTTGAAGAAGACGAATTTATAATTATTGCTGCTGTTCACTGACATGGCTTGTTAAATGACAATACTCTATTCCAACCACAAAAGAACTACGATAAAAGTGGACAAATTTAGATAGTTAACGATTGATTTTTATGAAAAATTCTAATTAAATCAATACAGCTTAGAAATTCAATCATTCCTACTTATAGACAGTCTACATTATTGATGTGCAATGTGATTAAGACAAAGTGATGAGCAAGTAAATAAATCTCTTTTATTTTCATGTCTACTATGTCTACATTAACAGTATTACAGAAATTCGAATAAATTCTTGTTAAGGAGATGTAGAAGAGAGTGCACGTAAAATATCGAACCAAACCGACAGCATAAATGTTACCAGTTGGACAACAAGGTCAGACAGAAGTATAGACAGAGGGGGAGAGGAAGATGGAGAGATTATCTAGCTGAAGTTTTAATTTTTATTTATACTGAATATAACAAGACTTGAAAGAATAAGGGACTTATTTCTATGTGATGAAATAAGATATGAAGAACACAGGTGGCTAACAGATGTAGACAGGAATTTGATGTAAAATGAATTGTGCTTGTGTACATGTATGTATACGTGTTACAAAAAAACAGAATCCGCCTACAAGATACAAGTGAATATAATACGGTGAATTAAAGGGAACTGTCTATATGCCTTAAAGGTATGCAATAACTGTAATTGGTCGTATAGATCCACAAGGGCAATATACATGCAAATGATAGAGGCTGTCGTCAACATATCTTTGAAGAGAAACATAAAATCAACAAATTTTCAAAACGTTACATGTTAGGCAGAAAAATTAGGGTAGTTACGGAAAATTTACAAATAATTGGTTTAAGTAGTTTATGATGGTATTTAAATCCAGAATGTACCTTTCCTATTTGGGAATTGAAAGTTGGATTTATCTGTAACCCAGTGAGTGGTGGTGTTATCACTGAGACTTGAACTCAGTGTCAACAATTTTAAATGATTGCCAAATTCCGCTGCTAGTCAGTATCAACACAACAACATAATGCTAACCCCATGGAAATAATCGAAATATTCGCACTGAGATTCAGCTTTTTATTCCAATGAAATCAATCAGTGGGAAGGTCAAAATAATTTTAATAAATAACTAAAGTACTGACTAAAATTCAAACTTAGACTTTGCACAAAGGTTCAGCAGTTCAAATTACGACATCTTACATAACACACAACGGTGGAGAAGAAATTCCACAGGGCTGTAATAAACGGAAATTTACGGGGAAAAGAATAACTAACTATATGGAGAATAGTGACAATTTAATGGATCTAGGGGATCAAAGAGAACGAGGGATTTTCAGCCACATCACCAACACTCCCAAGCCGTCAATTCTCATCCTCTCGAGGACCCCCGTTAGTCAATCTACAGTTCCTTTCTTAAGAAGTAAAACACTTCAGGGGATTGGTGCCAAGTTTTCGTTTGATTCCCCTTAACACCCTACCACGCTAATCTCATATCAACTAACGTTTTTCGACAAAGGAGGCAGTAGTATGGTATGTGTAACATATCTTCTTAATCCACGTACCTTCAAAATCTCATCTCTATGCCTAACCTCTATCTGGTTCACCACATTATACCACTTAACACGAGAGACAGAATGCAGTCAACTATGGTTAAAGACAACCAATTAGCCTCTTGAAGTTTCTATCTTAAGTAATGGTGGCTTCTGTGACATGATTGCGTAACTTTCTGGTCGATATATACAGAACTTGATCACTGTAGTATTATGTTACGTGTTACTTACAACAACTTGATGCAAGTGGTCTATCGTATGACGTCTTTTCGAAAAGCACTCTACTTTTGTATTGGAAAATATTACTTACTAGAAGATCATTGCTTATTTTACAATAAACTGACGACCTTATTGTTTTCTTTTAACCTTTCAGTGAATGGAAATAGCAATACGGAGAGGACGGAGACTATAGATGGTGGTATTCTATTGTTAATTGTTATTATTATTAATTTAAACGTGAATGCTGGCTAATTGCATATGCATTTGTTTTTAGGCGAAAAATGTAAAGATTATTATTATTATCAGACTGGCGACTTCATTCAAAATGAATATCCGTGGAGAAAAAACAACGCTAAAACAAAATAATCTAGGATGTAAATTATTTGTTACACGCATCGGTGTCAAGTGATTCACTGTGTGCATATATTACACTAAAAAACACCCTTTGGGAAATCGTTAGTGCATATCAGACGCCCAAAAAATACATTCTAGTTCCTGTGTGAAAACAATACACAACTCGATATACGCGCATATAGATTTTGATGAACTGGTTTACAAATTTAAACAAGTTAAATGAAAAAAACTAACACACTTATGTGAATTAAACGTGTACAAATTTGAAAATAAGGTGATATCTTACTCTGTGATAACATTCATCCCTAACATGTACGGTAGGAATAATAATTACACTATTTTTTAGGTATATTCCAAAATTGACTTAGAAAAACCAACAGGTTACTGTAAATTAGTGAATGCTTGACCGGTGTTTAGTCTTATTTCAGGACTCTTCAGCAGTATGTATATATGACCCTAAGAGTGATCAAACCAACGAATATTAGGTTACGAGCAAAGAAACATCACTCAGCCAACAGCACAACACTTGAACATACTATTTTAACACACAGATTATTGTATAGAAGAACTGACAGCAAGACTAACTCTTTGATAACAGCCAATTCACTCAGTCACCTATTTGTCTTTAAAAACAATAAAAATACTAGTTTATACCTGGCAATTATTTTCAAGTTACATGGTTGACTGATTTTATCACTTACCAGCATCAATCTCAGGACAACTGTATGTATCAATGAGCACTAAAACAGTTGTTTCATTCCGCAGCAGTGTACAACCACGACCGACTAGGAATCCTTCGTCTCACTAAAAAAGTGAGGTTAGATAGAGTGAATGGTTCACTAACCTATTAATAATCATTTCCAATCAATATGCATTCTCGATTTATTTACGGTTGTTTAAAATT